TCGCAATTGCGACCACTTGGCCAACGAGGCGGTTCAACTAATCGCGAGATAATCGCGTAAACATACATACATTCATACATACATCATACTGAGTATGTATGAATGTATGTATGTTTCATGTATTCAATATATCATGTCATAATGAGAACACCCTTTTTTCTTTTTTAATGTCGGTTAAAAATGGAATGAGAGTTTCAAAATCGAATACATAAAAAAAAATATTAAAACCATCACCGAATTAGCCATTTGCAGGCAGTGTAGACGTCTGGCACTAGGTTTGACTAGTTTCCCCAAGATTGCCCAAGCACGGCCCGCTCGTCTGTCTATCTTTATTGCCTGAACGGCACAGGCAATTGCACAGGATTTAGCATTAGTCTGGTCTGTGTTCCTCACACCTTCTTCTATTTCTTCATCGGGATTAGTTTTGTGCGTCTTCTGGTGGTAAAGAATAGAACACTCAAATGGGTAATTGGATACTAGGTATTCGGTTTTCTAATGTTAAACAAGAACAAAACATTACCAATGAACCATTGATTGTGCATTTTCTAATGCTGACTATACCATTGTTCATTCGAAAACTAGAATTACTACTGCAGAAATAATCATTTCATCATTGCCTCTAATTAAAAAAATTGTTTAAGAATATTTATTTCCAATATATATTCTCAATTAATTTGTTAATATTCTACAATAATAATAACAGCTAAGATATTGCTTACCACCCAGTCCTCAGCGAGTGCAGTCCATGAGTATGCGCTGGCTTGACGTCGTATGAGTTCCAATAAAATACCTCGTCTTTTCGATTTATCGGCACACGACAACGACATCAGAATACTAAATTAGAATATTAAGAGGAGCCCGTGATTAATTTATAAATTTTGCTTTGCTTTGATATTCCATAAATCGTTACATATTTATAGTTATTACAAATACTATACCTGAAGGAACTGACGCAGGTACCGACTTTTGAATACGATGCAATGGCTTTCTTATTATTGCCAAGTCTATGTTGGCATTCAGCTTCAAGACTTCTCAGGTAATTAATCTGAGGATAAAACTTAATAAAGAAGCGTTCTTTACCTAAAGACAAAAAAGTTTAAAATAAAATGTTACCTCTCCAAATTTATCAAGACCAACAGTTAGGTGGCAGATTGCTTCCTTGTACTGTCCTCGCAGACGACAGCACAGGCCAACTAGATGATAGTACGCTGTTGTCTCCACCGTCACCGACAGCAGACGAGCCAGACACGCTTCTGCCAACTTTTGAAATAGATAAGAAGTAAAAAGAACTGTATTGATGTATTGACCTATTAAGTTGTATCTCCCAACTGAAAAGTATACGTACAGGCACGGCTCTCAACCTGAGTAGAAGGTCAGCTGCCTCATAGTATAGGCTCATGCCTGGCAGCAGTGGCGTGCTGTCCCACCAGTCTCCTAGCTCTCGTTCCCACGAGCGCGAATAGTATGTATCTTGATGTTGTTCTCCACGTATCCTGGATATTATTACATCTTCAAATTCGTGACATTGGTTTTTTCATTTTATTTCCAAAATAGAGCTGATTGTAAGGTGACAATATCAAAACTTACTTATCAACATATTTCATGATGGTATCTGACAGATTGTACAGCTCCCGTTCGTAGAAGTAAACGCTAGTGATGACCCAAGCAATAGTCCAGTATGGACTAAATTGTAGAAGAGCGAAGAAGAATGGTTCGGCGGCTGTGGGGTCCTCTTCAAACAACATGGCACCTTTAGATAGGAGTCTGAAAGCATAGATATACATTTTGAAATTACCTTTAAATTAATAACTGGTTTTAAATGGAATGAAAAAGAACGGCAAAAAGAAGAAGATTAATTGATTATTTAGATAGCTGTAAGGATGATATGGAAAAGTACTTACGTTAAAGGGCTTCGAGGGTCGAGTACTACAGCCTTGTTTAGACAAACGATGGCCCAGTCTTTATATACATATTTCAAGCAAGTTGACAGTTCACGCCAATAATGAGCATATTTTGGTTTATCCACTACCAGCTAAAAATATAACAAAGTCGTGACTTTTTACATTCAGGCTTTATTCTCCCCCCGAATATTTTAGACGTGTATATTGTCCAATTTTCGATAAACTATTATCACCAAACAATTTTTGAGGTCATGTGAAAAAATGTTGTTAAATCCAGCACCAATAGCTTGCTCTTTTAACGTTGTTTTAACTCCTCAAGATGTAAATTGCATATTATCTGGTGATCAGTCTGCTCGTCTACCCTAATCCTACACAAAAAACTTAAAATAAAGATTATCTAGATAGACACATAGGTGTACCTGTAGGTAAAGTTCCACAGCATGTGTGGTGTCTTGTACCAGACGTGCATGTCTGGCAGCTCGTAAGCCAGGCTCTATATCGTTCCAGATATTGCTTTTTATCAGCATGGCGGCCGCAGACCTCATGAGACACGCGTGAGCCATCATTACCAACTCCTAAAGAGAAAACTCTATTAAGTGTTATAGAAATCAAGTACAAATTAAACTAAATCTCGTTACTCGAGTGGTTAAACAAAGGGAAAATTGTTTGTTCCTCCTATTTTGTTATGAGACCTGTACAGTGTACCTGTATTTAAGAATGCTATAAATGAATAGATACAAAGTAATGCTGATTACAATACTTTTAAAGATTATAGAGGTAAAGAAGAATAAAAATACATAATATATTACTTCAAACATTTCATCAGTGTCCAGATATTGTTTAACGATGAAATTATTGTTGATGAAGATGGCAGCGTTCTGCCAACAAGATGTGGTGAGTTCCACTCGAGTCCTTGTCTCACTTAGTTGACGATTAAACGTGCAGAACTCTGTTGCGCCTGAAAAATGATATTCATTCATGAAATAATGTAGCATAGCATAGCATGTTTACAAAACGACATAAATCAATTATTATTGTATTCCGAATTACCTAACTGACTACTCTAAGAAGCCACATCGAAAGAGCCGAAAAATAGTTCGGATATAATGAAGTAAAATCGGTGGCTAATGGTAGGCAAACATTTACATATATGTTTGTATGTATATCACACTTCCAAATGCCGAAAACAAAACTAATGTGTCCACTTGTCCAGGCCATATTCTAGTTAGCTATGATGCTAGTCTAGCTTTAAATATAATTAATAGACAAAATTGAATTGAAGAGCCAAATCGGACATTATACCGGTGCAATAACATTTAATAAATAAAGCTTCTATGGAAACTTGCCATAATACGGTACTTTTCGCAAGGCGTTCGCTGCAGCTCGTATGGTTTTTTGCCAGTCTTTCTCCAGTTGGCCACGCCCAGTACATCGTCGATGTCTGGGAACTTCTAATTCCATTTCAGTAAGCATGGCTGTTATTTCTTCTCTGTAATTAAATTTACTATATTGCTTTTCCCATTACGTCACTTAATACTAGGTTGTGTTCGTAATATAGATTTTTGGAGGTCGCAGGTTTGGAAAGCGAAGGTAGCATTTAAATTATTTTCTAAACCAAAAGTTTGAGATTTAATTTAAAGCGTTATTCTTAAAATAAGCGTTATTCTTCCATGATCAACTTACTTTAATATTTTAGGTGGTTTAAAAACAGCTTTAAGTGGTCGTCCAAACTGAACTTCTACAAATACAAAGGCGTCATTGGCATCAGACCCAGTAGGTTGGTATTGAGTTGGTGACAAAGTGGTTGCACTTGTTGCCATCGATTCTGTTGCCGCTCTGAAATTGTGTTGATCTTAATTATCCTATTTTTCTGACTCTCGCGACTTTTTTAAGGGGAGATAGTTGAAATAGGCTATAAAAAATTACGCTACGATTAATAGGAGCTGAGTAGCGACTGAAACAGCGTGGGAGTAGGTAATTGTATTACCTACTTATAAATTAATAAACTGTTCCAAGAGTTTTAGACTTAAGCAGAAGGTTCGTACCTGCTGCTTTTACTGGTTTTAGGAAGCGGCGTCTGACCTCCGGCCACGTCTGTGATAACCGGAGGTTTCTCATTCGGCGTGAGTAACAGTTCACAACCACACTCCTTCATCATCGTCATAGCGTCCACCCATTTCAAAGGCACAGCAATGCGAATTGTGTGTTCTACCAACAAGAGTTCATATTTAGATAAACTTTATAAAAATAAGTCTACACGACTGACTTCCAAACTTACCTCCTGGAAAAAGAAGTTGGAACAAATTAATGAACGCCATGAAACTGTAACCGCCGGTTTCACCGTAAATATGAATTTCCAGTGGCCATTTGTAATTTCTGATATGTCTCCATAACCATTGCTCGTAATCATCCAACAGCATCAAAGTGCGATGAAACGAGCCCCAAACGGCAGTGTCTAAAAGGCAGTAAAAATTAATTGCAGTAAAATTGAACCTAAATTACTACTTAGTTCCTACTATCATAACGTCACGCCTTTTCATCCTTTAAGAGTTAAACAGTACCTATATAATAACATACCTATTTTTACCAGTTATGAGTACTATAGAATAGGACTACTACCATATTAAGAACGACAAGGAAGGCTTTACCCTAGTTCAGGGGTGGCCAACCGGTCAATCGCGATCGACTGGTCGATCGCGACGGTTAGTCCAGTCGATCGTGACCAAACAAAATATATAAATAAATAGACCAGACTGCGCAACGTAATTATCAACTGCTATCCAACTACAAACCAGATTATGTTAAACTAGTGGAAAATGCTCAGGCGCAATGCTCACACTAATATATAGGACCCATATAATGTTAAGTAAATTTAAGGAACGATCTCGCATGTAATGAAAAGAAACCACTAAGACTGGTCAATAAAAAATACATGATTGTGCACTAAACTATGCAGTTTCATTTCAAGAAGTATGTACTTGGTAGATCGCACAGGGTTTCGTTAGTAAACAGTAAATCTTAGGTCTAAACAAGTTGGTCACCCCTGCTCTAGTCGAAAGAACGAAGATGAGGAAGCCTGCATTGACAGGACACAATTATCTACTGCGACCTGCTGTACCAGCCGCGCTGCTCTACGTGTCCCGCCTTCATGACTCCACAAAGGTTAAAGAGATTGTAGGGTTCATCAAGATCAAGGCAAAGCTTCATCTGAATGTTCAGCAGCTGCACTCTTAACACAGAGTGGACTTGCAAGTCCTTTGTAGTCAGGGTGCCGACTGAACATCTGCCAACCTTAATGAAAGAGGAGTTTTGGCAGCAAGGGATAGTCTACCGACGGTTCCGAGATCTGTCGGCTACCGGACACTGCGCAGCACACGACATCGTCTTTTCGTGTGATCTAGTTATTAATACCTAGTAATATTGTGGAATTAGTTTTGCTTGTATGTCTGTATATAATATTAATAATTTTTTTTTATGTATATAGTTTTTGATATGGGCCTATGAAGCCTGAAATTAATGGATAATTAAATACCTTGCACAAATCAGGACGCAGTGTTGTTATATATCTACTATTTTCGAAAAGTTAAAAAAAATATCATTAAATCAGGGAAATGGCTTTGAAATACCCAACCTAACCTAACTTAGAAACGACTTGACCAATGAGGCAGGACCAATTTTCAGCAGCTGTACATTCAGTAGTTCTTTCAACCATTCACTCATAAACAAAAAATACATAGATTTGGAACATACGATAAGGTAGTATCTGATTCAAGTAATAAGGAAGATCAATGTTGTCCTCATTAACTATATCTTTCAGTTTACATTGTAGCTTTACGTCAGAGTGTGTAAACAATTCTCCGGTGGCTCTCAAGCTTTCCCATTTAGAGTAAAAATCCATACATTTGAATCGCTGCGGTTCTCTACTGCCTTGACTGAAAGTAAATATTCCAGTCTTCTGTAAAAGTAAAACAGAAGAGTTTTACTAAGTACATTTATAAAAAAATAATCAAACGGTTCAAAATTTCAAACTCATTTACACGTAATAAAGTCGAAAATGTATTCAAGATTTTGACAGTTCTATGTTAATTTTTAACTTATTTTATTTATTCAGTTTTCTATTTTAACTATAACTGGATAAAGCATCAAACTTTTACTCAAGGTCTAATACAGATACAGTTCAGAAAAGAATATAAATGAAGTAACAATTAAAAACTTTCTTACAAAGAAACTTAGAATCAAATTAAAACACAGAAACTAAAAGATATTTATAGATAGTTGGATTGCTCTTACAGCTTCACAGTACAGAGGGGATTTTGTGGCAGCGGTATACAGGTAATCCTTTTCGAACGGTATGAACATGTTGTAGGAGCCGATGAGAGTAATTTTCATCCAGTTGGCATTCTGCAGCATCATGTTGTGTACCTTGTTCAGAGGATCTCGCTCTAAGACCAATTCCATCGTCACAAGAGGGAGTGTATCCCAACTCTTCGCGTTTATGGTTGTCGGTGGCACCATCGGCTCTAAACGTTTCCTTATGCACATCTTTTGCTCTTCTAAAACGAATATTTATAGTAAAAACTTATTTTTAGTTCTGGGTATATTTATGATAAAACTATTGTTAAGGTTTTGACTACCAATACAAAACGGTTGAAGGCAAATCCTCGGCGAACGCCGGTCACCGGTGACCCCCATGGAGTTTAATGTGTAAGGGAGGTTGCAGCTTTGGACGTTTTCCGTTTGATGATAATTAAGCATAGTTTGTACGAATGGCACTGACATAGATAGCCATTTAAAGTAATATGGTTTCATATGCTAGGTGAAAACTTGAAAGTAATGTTTTACGTAAATCTATATATATAAAAGAAAGTCGTGTTAGTTACACTATTTATAACTCAAGAATGGCTAAATCGATTTGGATGAAAATTGGTGGGGAGGTAGCTTAGAACCAGGAGACGGACATAGAATACTTTTTACCCAATTCTTTTTTTTTTACTTTTTACCGAAAATCAAGAACGGGAACGGGAAATATCGGGATTGCGCGTACGAAGTCGCGGGCAGAAGCTAGTTTATGATATTTGCTATAAAGTCAATTTGTTAATTTATTTATATAATTTTGAACCTGAATTCGTGTTTAATGTAATTTTATGGATTTTATTATATGAAATAAATTGGAATTATTATTATTATATTAATGTTTAGTTAGCCATACCATTTGACCCAATAAAAATTGATAAAATATCGATGTTGCAGCAGCTGATGCTTGAAGTGTGTGTAATTTTAATAAAGTTTCCTATGTCCATGTTAATTGAAATTTTACTAACATCAATACTTCTAAGCGGTTGCACTTGAACTGAAAAAATGCATAATAATACATCAGTATATTCCCTAAATTAGAATTTGAGTAACAAGTAAGATTTTCTGAATAAAAAAGTCCATAAATTACTTAATTAAAAATGAAAATCTACTAAAGAAACGAGCATTTTAATGAAAAAGTCTGATGTGAAGCAAATGTTGTGCTTTTGGCGTAGTCCCATTCCAGAATAAAGAAAAAAATGACTAGAATGAAACTTATTACATTACTGGGAAGAGGAAAAGTTTATGTTATTTCTCACCAATGGAGACATTACATATATTTGACAGCAAACAGATACTAAAGTAAATTGCTATGACATACCGACAAGGGGATTATCAGCAAACAGGCACATTTTCTCATAGTCTGACGGATCATAAGCGAAAGTCCCATTAGCTATAAAATTAGTTGGTTCCTCATCTTTCGAGCCAATAGACTTGATGATGGCGTGCACTAATAGTTGATCAAAGAATGTCACTTTTATGGCAAAATACTTAGGGTCGATGTCTGATGTTCGAAGGCTCTTTATTTTCAAGTACAACGTGTCATTTGGTGGTGCTGGTGCCTCAAAATCTTGTTGCAGCATTTGTAGCCTGTGCTGGGACAGAATAGACGCCGTCCTTGACTGAAAAATCAATGATAAGTGATACATAATAATATTCAATTTACGCAATATTAGCTGTTATCCTCAATTTTGAACGCGTGACCAAAGGCAAAATTGTAGTCTTAACAAAATTCGCAACCGAGAAATCATATAGTAGCATCTTACTTAATATACTCAACAATAACTTGTATTTAATATAAAATAGTTTACACAATACAGTGAAGAGGTAGAAGTAGCAGGAAGAGGTACCAAGAAACTATGATATGAGTAAGAGAATTTGCTCGGACAAGCCGTGGTGTCTGCGTCGAAATCGGCGCTTGAACGCCTACATGTTTGTCTTCGAAGTCAATGTGTGCCGTTTTGTGGAAATACACTACAATTAAATAAGCGTCACTACTAAATTTGTTTGATACGTACTTCACGTATTGATTTTTTCCGCTGACTCATCTTGGTAGATTTTTTAGTTAAGTCCTTTCTTTTTTCTTCACTTTTCTCCCTGTAATTTGTTAGTATTTTCAATTATTGAGGAAAATAATTCAGTACTGCTTTATAACATTTTACGTCATAAACATATTGATGAAGTATCATCATGACAGTTATTTTTAGTGTTTTGACATTAGTTGTCAGACATATTATTGTTTTTATTTACTTGTATGATCGTTAGAGGATCGTATGAAATATTGAGAAATAGTTTGAATGTATAACTAGCTCTGTTTTATGCAGCTAATACTAGTATTGAAACCAAGGCAAATATTGTGGCCCTATGTTCAAATGGTCATAAAAATAATTAATATATTGTATTGATTATTTTTCTCTATTACTTTTGAACTCTAGCTTTGAGTCTTAATCAGATTTAGCTGAAAGTTAGTATTTACATAAAGCGACTGATATTGTTTTGCTCTCTACGACATACTAAGGGTGACACAATATGTATGTATTAGTTGGGGTAAATAAAAATAAATCATTATAAAATAATATTCATTTATTACATTAATATCAAACTTTATAATATGGAACTATTGTATAGTTGTTCATTGGATAATTGGCAAATAAACATTTAAGTAAGAATACAAAAATATCGCAAATACAGAAGGCCTTGCAAATTAAATAGATTTATACAATTTTCAATATGTCAAAGTTAGAATTCATTAGTCACAAACATAATAAATAATGTTATATAAACCATTTTATTTTCTTGAATCACCAAACACAAGTACAAAGAATTACAAATTATTGTTTGATTTGGCTTCTATATGAACCATTGCAGAAACATTACACTTACTAATGCCCGACGGAGGTAAAAACTATGTGCCATTACTAAGAATTTGTTAAAATGCGAAACATTCCTAATAATATTGTTTTCTCTTGCTCAGCAATCGTTCTTGCAATGGCTCAATAAACGTGTGATGTCGAATTACTATATTTATATTAATGTCAAAAGGACTAAAACTGCATTTGAAATTTTGTAAGCATGTGATCATGATCAGTTCATTTTCTGAACAAAACAAGAAGCAATCTCAAACTGATATCGAATATTGCCTTAACCCCTTACATCTTAACACTAAAAATTATAAATAAATACTTAACTAATTACTATCTAAAACAAATCTATTTACAATATAACCTGGTTTTTAAACAGGTTACTTGCGATGGTCTACGCACACTCTTACCATCACCATACATCCAAAATGCCTTCACCCATTACACAAACCAAAATTTTGCCGATACGACATTGCAATATTCGAAACAAATTCATTGGATCCTTTTAACATGCCAGATGTTGCGAAGATATCAGTTACTTGTGCCTACGTTGTGAGGAGATTAAAATTTCCTAACTTGCATCAGGTTTTGTTATTGTACTACATATATTCAGTCAGTCTACTTGTGATCATTTTCCCTAAAATTCTGAGGCCGGCTTGCGAGCGTGTACGACAAGCAACCGATATTTAAAGTTCACACTTGCCTCATCGGTATTATACTTGGACACAATTTTCATATCTTTTAAAATATTTAAGTAATCTTGCTTGAAATCTTCTTCCATATCCTTCGGGATGTTGAACGGGTTGATTGCTTGAAGTGTTTCTGCAAAATAAACGATAAAGGAACGTTATAGTAATAGGTTTGTGGGGAACTATATCTGGACGGCGATGAATTGATGACGTAGAGACTGTAATACATGTCACATCGGTCGATGTAAACTAAATTCTTGTTGTACAGAGAACCCATAAAAGAGTGTAATTTATGTTGGGGCGTAGTTTGTTTTCATTGGTGGTCAATCTGGATACTCTTTTTAATTGAAGGGATTCGTTTACTTGTTCCACATTGACTTACTTTTTTCAAAAATAAGTAATTAAACGATTTGAAATGAAATCAGATCACATCAGATTAAATCAATAAATTTGGATCAGATTAACTCGTCGAGTACCGGTTTTATAGACACAATTAAAGAACAATAGGTCGCGGTCACCGGTGACCGCTTGGTGTTTGACAGTTTAAATCATAAAATTTAGGTTAGATTAAATGATTAAATCAGATAATAATCTGATCAAATAATAAGGCTAGATTTCAAATAAATACACAAATGTGGAATTTTAATTTGTGGGGCAATTTTTGGTTTGCGAGTCAATTCCATCATTCGATATACATTTCCCACTAGTATTTTGGACTACCCAATGAAAATAATTAGGTAGACTAATGGTTTTTTGATTTGTTACTAAGTGATTTTCCGTTAATGTACATAATTATTTGGCAGTAGGAAACTAGAGAACCAATTTCATTATGATCTTAGGGCCAAATTAGCTTAAACTAAATTTCAACAAATAAAATCAATACTAACTCCATAAACTGCCGAAGTTGTTGTACATATACACCAGGTTTTTGCATTCCACCTTGTAGTCCACGTACCCAACTTTTTCCAATACTTTTCTCATTTCTTTCGCTGGATCCTGAAAACAGAAATATGGTTAGTTAGTTCAAGGTTTAATAAAAAAGTAAAGGCAAGTAATTTATCACTACATAGCATTAAACAAAGTCGCTGTCCGCCGTCTGGAGTACCTATGTAAATATGCTTAGATCTTAAAAACTACACAACAGATTTTAATGCGGTTTTTTTAATAGATAAAGTGATTCTTAAGGAAGGAAGGAACACTGGACATAAAAGAATTGAAACCTTGTGCTATAGTAAGTGTGAACTTAAATAATGAGCACCTTTGTTTGCGCACACACTCGTGCAGTATAATATCTCATGCGTAGTGGGCTAGTCTAATTATTCCGACTTACCAGTGACTCAAATCAATTAAGACGCTTTATAATGTCTCCAAACGAAAATAATAAATATTTAAAACGTAAAATTGAGCAGACTTAGGGAACATTTTATGAGTAACTATCGAATTATGACGACAGAGTATCCATAGTAAACATGTTAATTAAAACGTCAATAAGCCTGATGATATTCATGAATCAGACTATTAAGTATTTGACCAAATGTCGTCCGAGGAAAAGTTTTAAAAACAATCGTAATTATTTTGTACGTTTTAATAATTACTTATGCTAACATAATTCACTTGATTTTTATAAATAATAACAATACATTTCTATTTTATTTCCATAAACGATGTATGAAAAGGGTTCTATTTACCACGAGGGTATACATTTTTAGTCCCTATCATATATAGTCATACAAGGTTGCCAGTTGAGAGTGCTCTGCAGTTGGTCTTATTCTTGACTTGATACTAACTAAAAAACTGAGACTAGTATAGTTACCTGTGAGTCGTGGTATGGCGATATGTATTTCTCGACATCTTTAAGCAGAGTGCTCCATTTGTTGTTACGCGATAAAATGCGGTACAAGTCGAACACGGGTGCGCCTGCGACGAATATCGTGAAGCATTCTCCATCTTTACTCAGCAAATCGTAAATATTTCTGAATACGCGCCTGAAACAGTAAAAATGGAATGTTAATCACATGAGTAACTTCTGAGACTTGATTGGCAATTCAGTATAGAGGCTGATGGGGGCATGATACTGGTTACAGTCGTGAATGATCTCAGGTTCAGTAATAGATCTCAGGTGTATTTACACAAAACGATGAACATATTATTCATTTTCCAAAAGTCTTATCTATCTAAGACAGTGTGACATAACATAATTTTCAAAAAGTGGAGTTCAATATAAATGTAATTTTATACCTTTGCCCAACCTTTCGAGAAATAAGAGACAGAATGTGAAGTTGCATATTTAACCATTTGGTGTAGCGGCCGATACGCTACTTAAAACTGTTAAACTGTCAAACACCGAGCGGTCACCGGTGACCGCAACCTATTGTTCATTGTGTCTGTAATGATGGTACTCAACGAGTTAAATGTGGGTACGTTTAGAATAGGAGTTATGCGTGTTACAGCCCTATTTTATCAGAACACCACCGTCACACGAGCAATCTTGCAAACCTGGTAAGCATCTATAGTGAGAGAACACTAGGGTTGTTTCTATCGTTGACAACTATTTGGTTAGAAGCAAACAGGTTGAAATACAACTAAAAAAAAATCTGGTATACGGCGGGAAACGAGCAGACAGATCACTTGATGGGAAACAATTGGCGGCGGCGTTGCTCATGGATACTTGTAACACTATAATAAGTGCATTGATGGCCTATTGAGGATTTAGGGATTTGGGTATTTTCAGTTGTTCGGACGACCATGTTGTTCTAATGGAATAGGACTCTTATAGCCACAAACATACGCACGAATGTTCTATATGTAGGTACACGGTATTATGGTAACAAACCAGCGTTTCAGCCATTTAATAGGTTAGCTATAAGTAGACTGAATTTTACTTTTACTGAGTTACTGAGAGGTGAGCGTTAAATATGGCACAATTTGCGGCAGAACAATGCTTTTGGAATTGACTTTTCATTGTTTTTGAAGAAGTTTTATAATTATGAATTCAGAGGATTTTTTCGTCAGTATTTGTTATATGAGACCCATTTATCAGGCGAGCTTATTACTGATATACACATTACTGAGTAAGCATGAATATTTAGAAAACCCCAT